TTGTTGCAATGTGTTTAGTTGATTAATGCATCCAAATTTTTAGTTCTCGTTATTGTAAAAAGATCACAAGATTAACAACCTTGGAATGATGGATGATAATAGTTGCAGATGTGCTGCTTACTCTGCAATAGTGGCATTGCCTCATCCATCACCATTTCTTGAACTCCCCATATATATGACATAAGGCTGCATTATGATATTAATAGCTCTAGGTAGTGATTAAATACAAATTTATTCAGCATTTGTATGGTGTCTGATAGGGTTATGTGCTTGGACTATTATTTGAATGCTCCAAAGTATAGATATAAATTAGTAGAAAATTGACTTGCTCTGTTTTTTTTTGGCAGGATGAAAATCGGGCAGCTTGGATTTAGCCCACATACATAGCATTCAACTTTTCTAGGAACCTAAGAAGAAGATTTAAGGTACACATTCTAGAATAGTGAACACAAGCATTGAATTATTTTGCCGTTTTATTAAGTTTTCTTTATTTATTTGCAATCTCTGCCTTTTCTCCGCTTTGCTTGAGGCTTTATATCTAAAAAAAGATCTAGAAATTGGATACTCTATGTTCTGATCTATTTCTCCTCATAATGTGTATTGATCAGGTGCAAGCTTGGATTTGAGGAATATATATCTCCATGGTAACAAATTAGAACTCGACTGGTACCTTGTATAGTGGTGAACACCAGCATTGCAAATTTTGACTTTACTAGCATTTTATCTGGATTGTATATTTTTCATAAAAGAACTTTTCCCAAGTTTTTAGTTGTAATAACTTTCAAATATGGCTCTAATTTTGAGACTCAAATGGAATGCCTGATTAAACTATAATGCTATATTGTCTAAATTCTTGTCATTGTTATTCCTAGAGTGCTTAACGTTGCACTTTTATTTTATTTTTTTTATTTTTTATTTTTTATTTTTTATTTTTTTTTGCGACCGTAACAAGATGGTCGCCAAAAATCAGTGTTGTTCTTTGTTTTTTGTGACGGCAAAATAAGGGTCGCCATAAGTAGTTTAGGCGGTCGCAAATAATTTGCGACCGTTGCTTTGCCGTCGCAAAAAGTATTTGCCACCCCCACATTCGCGACCCCCATTTGCCGTCGCATGGGCCGTCGCAAAAAGTCTTTTGCGACTGTTTTTTTATTATTTGCGACGGTTTACAGCGGTCGCAAAAAGTGTTTTTTTTAGTAGTGGGTGTTAGAACAAAAGAGAGAAGGTTGGAGAAGGATGGAGATTGTATGTCTCTGTATTGTTAAAAGTATATATGTTTTTGAAAATACAAACCAACCAGCATATATCATATTTTTTTATTTATTATTTTTAGAGTTAGATTTAAAAACTAAAAAATATAGATAAATAATACGTTTGTTTTTTTCAATTCAAAAAATATATTCAAGTTGAAAATTTTTTTTCAACAGAATATTTATACTTTTTTTCAATTGAAAACACAAACAAAATATTTAAATAAATTGAAAATACAAAGTCTTATAAATTAATAGGGGTGCTCGCGGTTTTGGCGGTTCGGTTGCGGCCAAAGGAATCTCAAATCCGCCATCCGTCCGCCAAATTGGCGGATTGGAGAAAATGAATCCGCAACCGTCTGCTCGTCATCACGCATCCGTTCAAAATGCAGCGGATCGGTTCGGTTTGGTCGGTTTTAGCGGATCGATATATCCGTTGCTCACCCCTACTATTAATGCATCAGTTGGTGAAAATGGGCAAGAGATGAAAATTTTGATTATATGCATTTAGGGTTTGCTATGTTTGATAATAATAAATTCTTGAAGAAAAATGTTTTAGTTTTTAATTTTATATACAAATATCTTTATACATTTAAGAATCAAACGCAACCTAAATAAGGGAATTGAAGTACTGATGACCTGGTGAAATTTGGTCATTTGTTGTTGAAGTACAAAATTCTTTTTCAAATTTGTTAAATCCTATGGAATTATAAGAAAAAGAAGAAATTTCTCTCAAATAAACTATTTATATATTATCAAAAAATTGAATGACTGTAAGTCTTACAATTGACAGTTGCTTAATTAACATAGCAAAATTAAAGGAAATAAGAGAATGGCTAAAAATACGAATTTAAACATCGAAACATTATTGCTGTGTTTGCTAATTGGGGGATTTGAAGAAGGATTTGGAAATGAAAAGGGATAGGAAAAAGGTGTGTGAAACTAGGTGAAATAGTATATTTTATTTACATTTCACCTAACTTTTCTCCTTCCATTTCCAAATCCCTCCTCAAATCCTCTAACCAAACACAGCGTATGAAAATAAAAATCGATATCGGAATTAACAAATCAAAACTTTTTAAATATGAAAAAATTACAAAATTAAAGGCCAGACCGTCGGAATTCACCCAAAATCCACAAAGTTATGGATCTAAATTTTATGGACTTTTTTTATTTTTATTTTTATGTCTCTATCAAATTTCATGCAATTTTAAACTTGTGCTGCTTGGCCTCTAATGCATTATTTTGTCTTGTTTGCCCATGTGCCTATTCTCTATATCAAATACTTTGCATCAGTGTGTTGTTTACATTTCGTAGCACTGAAAAGAAAAGATGTAAACAATAAATTACAATGGTGACAAATCATGAAAAATTTGTTCTTTTTCAATTCTACAAATAAATTATTATTAATATTGGGGAAAAATAGAGACGCATAAAGCTTTTTTGTTGGAAATTCTAATAGACAATTTATGTTTAAAAAAAATCACAAGAATGATATAATACTTTTATTTTTTAAAATCAAAGGTGACTTTTATTTATTTATTTTTTATTTTTTTTATGTCTCTATCAAATTTCATGCAATTTTAAACATGTGCTGCTTGGCCTCTAATGCATTATTTTGTCTTGTTTGCCCATGTGCCTATTCTCTATATCAAATACTTTGCATCAGTGTGTTGTTTACATTTCGTAGCACTAAAAAGAAAAAATGTAAACAATAAATTACAATGGTGACAAATCATGAAAATTTTGTTCTTTTTCAATTCTACAAATAAATTATTATTAATATTGGGGAAAAGTAGAGACGCATAAAGCTTTTTTTTGTTGGAAATCCTAATAGACAATTTATGTTTAAAAAAAATCACAAGAATGATATAATACTTTTATTTTTTAAAATCAAAGGTATCTACACCATTTTGTACAAAATTCTATTAATTAATTAATTTATTTATATATCATTGCAAATTTTTTTTTATAATTTTTATTTAAATTCTTTTAGAAAATGAAAAGGAGAACAAGAGAACATGATCTATATATGAGGGACTATTGTATCCCAATAGAATTTTGTCTGCACCAATTTAAATATGAGATAAGATATATAATTCAAATAGATTAATAATCCTAAAATTAAGAATTTTAAAAATAGTAATCAAATCTAATCTAGTGTTCCAAACAAATCATGCCCTTAAAAGCCTACACCAACTACCTTACCCTACTTTTTACAACAGTTTGCGTGATCTTCTGACAGAAGTAGAAAAATTCAAAAAGAGCAGACAAAGATATGATTTTAAAGTGTGATCATTCGGCTTTTTGGTATTGCCACCGAATGCATGGTGATGAGCCAATAAATGGGTGTCACCCAGCCACCCAACCAAAATCAAATCAATGTAGGCCATTTTAGTACTCATTTCGAGTGGTTTGGAAGGGTTTTTGGGTACTTTTACTCGGTTCTTTTTTAAAATTAAAAAAAAAATAATTTATGATCTAGGTACACTTTTCAACCATGTAGTTGGTCATCAATTTTTAATTGAAAATATTCTCAATCTCCATATTTACGATTAAGCTTTCGTGAGTTGTTGAGTGGCTGTGAGATGAGGAAAGAATTGTTGCAGTGGAGATTGGGAAAGGGATTGTAGGTGATGGGAGAAGGTGGCAGTTGCGTGTCAAGGAGGGAGGAAAGGGGTTGCAAGGAGTGGCAGTGATCGGGAAAAGGTGGTGGTGGGTGGTGGAACCAACCGATAATGGGGAGATGCGTGGAGAGAAAAGAGAGTGGTGGCAATTTCATAGGGGAGCAAGACAATGGGTGGCATTGGATAGGAGAGGGTTGTGTGAGGAAAGCATTTTGGCTTAAAATTTCGGAGGCTTTGTTACTAATAGTAAATTTATTTAGGAGCAAGGATTGCCATAAAAGTTTAAAAATAATATTTAAATAGTTAAATCTGTTTATCATCAACATAAAAATGTTTATATTGACCATTTATGATAATTATCTATACTTATTATTAGATATGACGTAATCTCAATAGTTAAATGTTCATTTGAAATTTATTATATCAGTTATAGTAAAATTAGGGACATCACCAAAATTTTACTTTTGTGGTGCTAAAACATAAATGATTATGTTTTTTATTTACCAATTGATATGAATTATTATATTCCAAAACATGAATAAAAAATAAATGAGGACTTAATTATAAATTAACACATAACAATTAAACGGTTTTTTCATAAAATTGAAGATAAATAAGTAAATATACACATAATAAAAAAGTTAAATTGAAAAAAAAAAAAAATCAGTTACTAGAAGTCTGTATTACTAACATTTACAAGCATTCCATATCATATGGCAAAAGCAAAGGGGCAGGGTCAACATATACATAGCATTTTGCTGTTTTGAAAATAAATTTAGATAAAATTTACCAAAAAAAAAAAAGCAACATTTATATTTGCTTGATTACAGTAGCACCCCTCTCTTAGAAATCTTCTTTACCGCACTCACGAAATTTCAAAATCTGAGGAAGCACTTGCTCTGGGACTCTACAAATGTGGCCAACTCGACCACGCCGTTCAACTGTTCGACAAAATGCGTCACAGAAACTTGGGTCAATTGAATTGCTAGCGAAATCCCGACCCAGACCCAGTTTGCCTTTTCGAGTGTTTTTCAGGCCTTTGCATTGTCTTTTTTTAAACTGTGGGTTTAGTTATAAATTATTTGCGGGTAGTAATTTAGCTGATATGTACTCGAAGTGTGGCGTGATGGTTGACGCGTGTAAGGTCTTTGGGGAGATGTCTTATAAGGATGAGGTGTCATGGACCGTTATGATTGATGGGTATGCGAAAAATGGAGATTTTGAAAAATCTTTGTTTACTTTTAAGAGGATGGTGATGTATGAAGATGTAGTTATTGATCAGCATCTGCTTTGTAGCACATCAGGTGCTTGTGGGGCTCTAAAGGTCTTTGATTTTGTGAAGTTAGGATTTGAGTTGTATCTTCTTGTGGGAAATGGCTTAAAAGATAAGTATTCAAAAGTGGGAGATATGGAAAGTGCTTCAAATGTGTCTGCAATTGGCTTTGAGGGTAGAAATGTAGGGTATGTTTGGTTTTGAATTTCTAGGGTGATTTTGGGAAAAAATTTTTAGAAAATTTGTTTGGTTTGTAAATTTTCCAAAACAATTTTCAAAATCACTCTCTCTTACCTATCAATCAATTACTTTTTCTCTCTCCTCTCTCCTTCTCAATCACTTTTTTCTCTCACACACCTACTCAATTATAACAAAACATCAAATCATTACAAACTCCCAAACTCTAAAACTACTTTCAAAATACACAACCAAACAAACCCAAAAAATTTCTAAACTCTCTCCCCAAAACAATTTTCAAAAACTACTCTCCCAAAAACAAACCAAAAAAGCCCCTAGTGTCTTATACTTGTTTGATTGATGGGTATGTCGAGAAGGATCAAATCGAGAAGGCTTTGGATGTTTATCTTGAGTTGTGGAGGCGGGGGATTGAGCCCAATGAGTTCACTTTCTCTAGCTTGATAAAGGCATGTATTGACCAAGCTGCACTTGAGCGAGGGACCCAACTTCATTCCCAAGTAGATAGATTCAACTTTGACAAAGACCCATCTGTTTCTTCAGCTCTCGTTGATATGTATGGGAAATGCGGTCTGCTTAATTATTCAATCCATGTGTTTGAGGAGATTGAATACCCAACTGAGATAGCATGGAATCTGCTAGTAAGTGTGTATGCTCAACATGGATTGGGAAAAGATGCTATGAAAACTTTTGACAAGATGCTTCTAAGTGGAATTAAATCAAATGCTATAACATTTGTCAGTTTTTTAAATGGTTGTAGGCCTTCAGGATTGGTAGACGAATGATTAAATTACTTTCATTCCATGAAAAAAATTTACAAAATATCTTCTAGGTCAGAACATCACTCTTGTGTTATTAATTTGCTTGGGCATGCAGGAAGGCTTAAAGAAGCTGAAGAATTTATCAATAGCATGTCATTCGAGAGTCTTCTTGACCAGATCAAGAGAGCTGGATATGTTGCTTTCACAGATTCTATCCCACTTGACCTGGACAATAATACAAAGGAGAAGGTTTTTCATTGTCACAGTGAGAGGATAGCTATTGCATTTGCACTAATAAACATGCCAGTTGGGAAGCCAATCACTGTGAAGAAAAATTTGACGGTATGTGTGGACTGCCATTCTGCAATCAAGTTTATGTCCAAGGTTGTTGGGAGAAAGATAATTGTCAGGGACAACAGTAGATGTTACCATTTCAAGGATGGGTTGTGTTTTTGTGGGGATTATTGGTAAGATTTTGAAGGCAATTTGAAGGTTGGTGGAGGATACGATGCTTAGAATCATTGAGCTAATCATTGTGATGGAGGTCTTTGAGATCTCTGAACTTTTTGTTCATGTGCCACTGTAATTTGGTACTTTTGGCAATGAGTGTTTGCTCAAATGATGAGCCAGATTACTGGGAGGAAAATGACTTTCATGACAATTTTTTTGTAGCCAATAAATCAAGGGGCTAATTAGATCAATGGCTGTCACGAATAAATACAAGGCATCAAAGCTTGCTTTACAGAAGATATGTTGAAGTAATAACATTTTGGCAATGTCAAAACTCATATTTTGGCATGCCACGGTACCCAAAATGGTATAAATGTAAATTTTTGTTTTATTTTCTTCATAGAATGTCAAATAGAATTCCAATCTCAAATTCTCATGACTTTGAGCCATCATTGAAATTGATTCTACTGAAAGAATTTTTTTTTTTTTTTTTGACATCCTTGCTAGAGATCATAATCCAATATTACATCTTTATCATAGACAAAATAGATTTCAGCAACTATGTTCGCCACTTGGAATAAAAAGGGTGAAATTCATCTGTTCGTATATATCAGCCTTCATACATACTAGTTGTAACAACAACCAATGTCTTAAAAAAAATACAATACTTGACATTTCAAAACATGGATTTTTAAATTTTTTTTTTTCCCTCCAGGAAACGCAAGCATTGACTTCATTTATTTATTGGATCAAATCTATTTCTGCATTCCATTATAGTGAAATTGCACGAAGTGGTGTAGCTAAAGTCTTCTAGCAAGATTGAAACTTTTGAGATAAGTATAGCATTGTTGGTTTCAGAAATCATGATCCAATATATTACATCTCTAGCATAGACAAAATAGGTTTCAGAAACCATGTTTGCCACTTGGAATATAAAAGGTGAAATTCAAATGTTCACATATAGCAGCCTTCATACATATTAGTTGTAACAACAAATGTCTTAAAAAAAAATATGATACTCAACATTTCTAAACATGGAATTTTTTATTTTTTTTTGGACAGTAAACACAAGCATTGACTTTATTCATTTATTGGATAAAAATCCATTTCTGCATTCCATAGTTGTAGTAGTGAAATTGCACAAAGAGGTGTAGCGAAAGTCTTCCTGTAGGATTGAAACTCTTGAGATACGCGTAACATTGTTGGACGAGATCTCGGCTTAGAGTGCAAGCATGCAATTGCCATTCTAGCAACTAGAACAATGTTTCCCACAACCATTGGATTAGTTGGAAGCGGAAGGCGCAGGTCTAAGACATCAGCTAGCATTATGTTTCGAGTAGACGGTGATTCCAATGATGAGAGTAGTTCTCCCGGATGCCTTCCCATGATTGTTTCTAGTGCCACCACCCCAAAGCTATAAACATCACATTTTTCAGTCACAACCATGGTGTAAGCGAATTCTGCATAAACAGAAAGATCAATGAAAGAAGCCATAAACTACACTTTCTGTTTAAAAAGTGAAAAGAAAAAGTATTTTTTGCTACCTGGAGCAATATATCCGTAAGTGCCTGCAATAACAGTTTGATTCGATGAATCGAGATGTAGCAATCTGGCAGTGCCAAAGTCGGAAACAAAAGCCTCCAATTTAGAGTTCAATAAAATGTTGTTGCTTGATATATCCCGATGAACAATAGGTGGGGTGCAATCATGATGTAAGTAGGATAGAGCATATGCTATTGCTTTAACAATGTTTACCCTCAGAGTCCATCCCAATTCAACAGCATCAGCGTCAGCTCTCAGGAAACAAAACAAACTTCCCCTTTCCATGTATTCATATACCAGGAACATGCATCTGTTGTGCAAACAGAACCCATAAAGCTTTATTATGTTTCGGTGCCTTACATTAGTTAACATTTGCACCTCATTTCTGAAACTCTTGTCAAAAGCTGGCTCCTCTGCTTCCAAATGATGGAGTTTCTTCAATGCAATTACTTTGCCAGATGGCAACTGAGCTCTGTAGACGCTACCGTAACCACCGGTTCCAATGCAGTGCCTGATGTCAAAGTCGTCAGTTGCTTTGACGATGTCTTTGTATGCAATTCTTCCATCGTAATTCCATATCGAGCAAATATCCCCATTTTTCATTGCCCTTGCCTCGATTTTGTTTTTTTGGGCCTTATGGCAACGAAAACATGCAAATGCAAGAAAGGCAAGGAAAACTATGATAGGGAGAGAAATGATGAGAGTAAATTTTACTATTTTTTTCTTGGAGCAATTTCTTGCTTCATATAGGGGTGGACAATCATACCTATGTTGTGGGATTTGACCTTTGAGACGATTGTATGACAAGTCAAGATCTTCTATGTAGCAAAGACTAGAAGGGACTTCGCCAGAGAGATTATTGTGGGAAAGATCTAAGTGCCTTAAATAGAACAAATTTGTGAGTCCAGTGGGTATTGTTCCATTCAAGTAATTATCACTCAAATTCATGTTCTCCAAAAATTTGATTTGTTCTAGCTCTTTTGGGATAAGTCCACTAAGCAAATTGTGAGAGAGGTCCAGATATTGAAGTTGGTAGAGAATTTTGATTGGTGATATCTGGCCTAAAAGTTGGTTCCATGACAAACTGAGATTACGAAGGTTGGATAAATGCCCCAGTTCAGTGGGTATGTTGTTAATCTGATTTGCAGACATGTCAAGAACCTCCAAGTTCTTCAACTGACCTATAGAAGATGGGATCTTACCTTTAAGGAGGTTATCCGTGAGGTTCAAGTAAATCAATTGGGTCAAATCTCCTATTTCTACAGGAATTATGCCATGAAGGCTGTTAACACCTAAATGCATCGTAATCAAATTCTCTAGCTTTCCTATTTCTGGAGGGATGGAACTGTTAAGTCGATTTGAGGACAGATCCAAGTGGATCAAATTGGTTAATTGACCAATAGATGAAGGGATTGGATCACTAAGGATGTTCCCACCAATAAACATTTGAATCAAATTCTTCAGCTTTCCTATTTCTGAAGGGATGGAACCGTTAAGTCGATTTGAAGAGAGATCCAGGGAGAGCAAATTGGTCAATTGACCAATAGATGAAGGGATTGGACCACTAAGGATGTTCCCAGCAATACAAATATGATCCAAATTCTCTAGCTTTCCTATTTCTGGTGGGATGGAACCGTTAAGCTGATTTGAGAAGAGATTCAAATAGGTCAAATTGGTCAATTGACCAATAGATGAAGGGATTGGACCACTAAGTCGATTTGATGAGAGATCCAGATGGGTTAAATTGGTCAATTGACCAATAGATGAAGGGATCAAACCTTCAAGATTGTTGCGGGAGAGATAAAGGTCGGTGAGCTTTGACAGAGTACCAATTTCTTCAGGGATGCTTCCAGTTAAGTTACAGCTGAGGAGATTGAGTTGTTCAAGATTTGGCAAGGATGTCCAATTCATGCTTTCAAGCTTTCGGGGGTGAAACAGAAAAGAACAATAGGGAGACATAGCAGAGGAATTGAATGACACTTCCTGCCCAATTGAGTGACACTTCCTGCCCAATTGCAAGTGAGTGACACTTCCTGCCCAATTGCAAGTGATGCCCATCAGCTCGCAGTGATTTGTTGAAGAAAAGTTCCCCCACCAGTTGCTATTGAGTAGAGCTTTCGCCTCTATCATTGACAACGATGATTTTGCAGATGCAGAGGTTAACAAACTAGTATTAATAACTGCCATGCATACTGCTGCTATGACTATAGCAGAGGAATAATAAAGAAAGGAACAAGTTGTGCCATTTTTACTCATAATTGAGGTATGTATGTATGGATTCTGTACTGGAAGCTCTAAAACAATGAGCGTATGAATGCAATAATTCAAGGCATCCTCAGATCAAAGAGGGCTTTTAAGAATATGTGGTATTGAAAAAAAAAATAAAGACTCAATCCGTTGTTGTCTTCCTTGTAACTTCCTCAAACGTTGTAGTCATGAGTTGGAAATGAACTTTTTCGTTTGCATAGACTTCGACTTGTCACAAGAAAGAAAGGACGTAAAAAAATGGGCAGAATTACTGGACTCTTTTAAGATTTTTTAATTTATATAACATTTTGTTCTTGTTTTATCAAAAATTTATTAATTGTATGAATAAAAAAAAGTAATGTTGTTATATCTTTTATATTGAAATATACCTTTTAGATTGTGTGTCGTCATATTTTCATACCACTTGTATTAGTTTGGCCTTTTTAACCTTACTAAAAGAGAGATCTATGTAATTAGAGTAATATTAGGTATCATGAAAAAACTTTCATAAAAATGATCATGAAAGATTTATGACCCTTGGATTACACTTAAAATAAAGCATCACACACTAATTAAGGTAATCCAAGAGTCATAATTCTTTCATGATCATTTTCATGAAAGTTTTTTCATGATCCCTAACTTTTCTCATGTAATTATATCAAAATTATGGGACTTACCATATTTTCTCTGAAGGGAGTGTAATTTACCCTTTTTAAAATTATACATTAAATTTACTTACAAAAATTAAGACATGAAAATTTAATTGCAAGAACTAAAAAAATGATCTTCTTGCTTTATGATTTACAAAAATCTAGATTACCAAATATATATATATATAAATTAGCCAATATGTTAAAAAACAAAATAAAAAATCATAAAATTAGCAAGTTAATTTTGACCCTTTTTCGACATGAACCTGAATATGCTAGGATCTAAAATAACATGAATATTTAAGTACAAATTTTAATATTATTTTCACTAAGGTTATCATGATATTTTTTAATCTTTTATGTAACTCCATCTATTCGAATAAAAAATTCATGTAAAATAAGAATGAGATTAGATGGTTTCCAGTCCGTAATCAGACTAGACAGTCCAGTCCTATGGGCCTGCTTTTGGATCTCGTTTCGATAATTTGAACCATTCACAGTTAAGATTCGTTGAGTACATTATCCTTGCAAAAAAATTAAGTCGATCGGATAATGAAAATCACGTGTTCAATTCAATTTTGAATGAACCGTTAATTTTCTCACCATCCTTTTTTTTTTTATATATAAAATTGTTATTCGATCAACTTGATTTTTTACAGGAATGATATACTCGACGAATCTTAAAATATGAATAGTTTAGATTATCAAAACCGGTCCCAGAAATGGACCCACAAGGTCTAACAACACCTCTCCAATCCGATGGAGGACCAGAGAGAAGCAATGGCCAATAAGAATTTAAGGGTATTGTTTATATATTTATTTAAGGTGTGTACTTTTTGTTATCTACTTTAGAGTCAACTTTGTAATCATAATAATAATAATAATAATAATAATAATAGGGTATAATTTCTTAAATTAGGAAAATGCAATTAAGTTAAAAATAAAATATTATGTGAATAATTTTATTTAGTATAGATTTATTTCATAAAATTTAACTTGTGAGAAAATATTTAACTTAGTATTTTATCTAAGAGTGAGTTTTTGTGATCATGACTTGTAACTACTTGTAACTACGGACTTTTACATTTGCATTGATTCGGACTTTTTTTAAGAGTGAGTTTTTGTTGTCATGACTTGAAACGGACTTTCACATTTGCATTGATTTGGACTTTTTTTTTTTTTTTGATATATATATAGGGTATTTTGGGTCAATTTATACGCATTAGATTAAGTTTTTATAGTCCAAACAAACTTTAATCCTTATAATCCGCGACTTCAAAAGTTTTACTGGCGAAAGGAATTGAACCTAAAACCTTAAAAGGAGTAAACCCCAAGCTCAGGCGGCATTTATCAAGCCAAATCCTTGGAATTCATTGATTTGGACTTGTCAAAAGAAAAAAAGAAGAAAAAAAAAATGCGTGTGATGGGTGATTAGTATGACTCTCTTCTTAACCAGATTTGGACTTGTCAAAAGAAAAGAAAAACACATCCGTGTTATGGATGATTGATATAACTCTCTTCTTGACCAAGTCTTCATTCTATTTTATTCTATTCTCGCTTCATTGGCCCAGCCTAATTTATTTTGCACTTTTAAGTCTCGAAATTGAGCCCTTATATACAATCAATAAAAAATAAAAAAATTTGCATAATTATTAATACTATACACTAAATTTACTTCCAAAAATCCATAAAACTTAAAAGGAGCCTAGTAAAATTATGTCAAATTTGTGGGACATACTACATTTTCTCTAAACTTCAGGAGATGTCAGTATAATTTATCCAAATAAAAAATAAAACATGAGATGGAAGGAGTTAAAGAATATTTCTAGTAATAATTACGGTTGGTCAGAGAGAGAGAGAGAGAGAGAGAAGAGCACGGGCAAAGCTTCTCTCTCTAGAGATTTTCGATGGTGCTCTATCGACCTCCTTTACACTTGAAAATCTAGATTTGCACTCTTAGAGTATAGATCTACACTTTTAGATTGTAGATTTGAGTTTTTTTATGTCTGAAATAGGGGTATTGAGTTTTTCTTCACCTATTTCAATATAGATTTTTTAGATTTTCAATACCCACAGTAATTCCCTCTTCTCTCTTATACTATTGTGGGTATTCTTCCTCTTCAACTCGAGTTTTTGGTGGTGCCTGAAGTTCGACGGTGGTGATGGCGAAGTTGGACAGCAGTGACGAGGACGATGGCAACAGCGGGTGTTGATGTAGATCTTGTTTAGTTTGATGGAGATCTTGCTTTCCAAACTACATTTATGAAAAGATCGGTAATTTTTCCTAAATCGTAGCTGATTTTTTGACAGATTTATTTTTGTTGTTTGTAGTTGTTTGTTTGGCCTTTAAAATCTTCTTGTTTTTATTATAATCTTATATGTTGTTTGTTTTATTTTAATATAACCCTTTTTCCTATTCCTCAAAAAAGAAGAAAAAGAAAAAAGAAAAAAAGAGAGGATATTTCTAAGAATACAATCTGCAACAAAGCAATATAGGTGCAAAAATGTGTTTATCAAATCTGTTAAAAGAAGTCATACAACCACCAATCTCTTATAACCCTCTAGTTATTGAGACTCGGTTATAGCTATAAATAGTTCTATGTTGGCTTGTTTGAAAATTTGCTATTTTTGTTAATTTTTTGATTTTTTACAAAAAGATATGTAGAAAAATCAAAGAGAGTGATGTAACAACTTGTATTGACAAACAAAAAATGTTTGTGACCTCCAAAAAACTCACACACTTCTACCCACAATGATATATCCTGCTAGGTGTCAACTTTTGATTGGTTATACGCCTAATGATCAAGGGTTCAATTCCCTTATCATATCATTGTGAATGAATTTGTGAGTCAAATAGCATTACTCTTCACAAACAAGGACTTGTAGCTACAGAAGAATGACTTGATTACATTAAAACACAAATTCAAGGGAAGCAAATTGGAAGAGGTAATTACAGTATGATAAGCATGAGACTCAATCCATTATTGCCCTCCTCAAATGTAGTAGTCATAACTTGGAACAGTGGACTTTTACATTTGCATTGGCTTTAATTTCGATTTGTTACACCATTTGCATTGGCTTTAACTTCGATTTGGAATTGTCACAAGAAAGAAAGGAAAAATAAGTACATAACACGTTATTCTGTAGCATGAGACTCAATCCATTATTGCCTTCCTCAAACATAGCAGTCATGACTTGTAGCATGAGACTCAATCCACTATTGCCTTCCTCAAACATAGCAGTCATGACTTGGGACAGTGGACTTTTACATTTGCATTGGCTTTAATTTTGGTTTGGACTTTTCACAAGAAAAAAAAAAAAAAAGAATGGCAAATTATGTAAATAGTCTTTGTAATTTACACGTTGTGTCATTTTGGTCCCTCTAATTTCAATTTTCTCAATTTTGACCTTAAATTTTGAATTATGTATCATTTTGGTCCAATTGAAAACGGAAGTTAAGAAATTAGACAGAAAATTTGCACGTGGACAACATGTACAGAGTTTTTAAGGGCAAAAAAATCAATTTGCTCTCACTATCAATTAACTCAATGATTAATCCACCTCACTCCCATTTAACTCAATGTTATATGAGTGGTGATTCATCCCACTAATTTTTGGACCACTAATAGCTCTAATGAGTTTAAAAAAAAAAAAAAAAAAAACAAACTCAAGTCAAAACATCACATCACTTTGGTGGGAGCCACTGTGCCACATCATTAGCGATGCTCTAGAGCTCCCAATTTAGTGCTTTAAAACATTATTCATGTTATATATATATATATATATATGTATATATCTCTGCACACACACACAGAGAGAGAGAGAGAGAAGGGAGGAATAGCATTGATGGAGTCAACCTAATTCAAGACCGAGCACTGAACCCAAACCAACACACCACCGGCGCAAAACGTAACCTTACAACGCAGAGAAAACCAGCAAGGCAGCCATAAATCTGAACCAAAACATAGCCCGAGTTGGAGTAGAACCAAACCAGTATCGGATAAGAGGCAAGGTTACGCCGGAGAAGACAAACTTGCATCAGTCAGCCACCGGCAAAGCCAAACCACACTGTAAAGCAGTTCCAGCTACAAACCAGTTCAATCGGCGATTCCACTCAGAGTCAGACAAACGCCACTCTCAGCATAGAAGTAGAGGGTGCACTCCATACTCAAACACAGCCACAAGGCTGGCGTAGATCCACCATGAATGGCGATTCACGCAACTGCTGTAGCTAAACCCAAGTTTCAGTAGTCTTACATTGCTGTACACTTTCACCATGACATCCAGACTTGATATCATTTGCAAGCAACCACCGTTACGCCGACAGAAGTGAACCAAGCAGTACACTTCCACCGGCTATGACAACGAATGAACCAAAACATAACATATATGTTGGAAAAAAAATGATTTTTAAGGACTTTAATTTAATATTAAAGTGTGGTGACTTTAATTAAAT